AGACTGTCATTTTGTGAACTGTTCTTCTCCTAATTTTCCATCTTTTTTCTGGCCTCATTTTTTGTGTTGTTATTGTTGCTTCCTCTGCTATTAAATTATTTTGCAAGAATTGAAGTAAAATAATTTGCATTTTCTGTTAAATTGCCCAAAAAAAAAAGGAAAAAATAGTTACATTATTTGACGTTATCAGTATCAAATCACTTTGTTATTGTCAGTTATTCGTTTAAATGCTTAAAAATTTGCTATTGTTGAGCAGTTTTCCGGTGTTGAATATATAACACTTTAAAATTGAAAAAAAGATTTCTTTTTTTTTTTCTTCATCTTAGTATGTAATCAATCATCAGCAAAGCTGTTATAATCAGTGGCATTTTGAAAGGTGATGAACGTAATTGATTATGACAAGTCAATATTTTCGTATAATCAAAACATTTTAGCAAACATCAGGTGAAGCTTTTTAAATGAAAAAAGAAATAAAGAAAAATTGACCTTTTTTTTTCTTTTATAAGTACTTTTTGTGACCAAACAGCTTTGTACAGAATAAAGTTGATGGTAGCAAAAGGGCTTCGAGAAAGCATTGAAATAGTTTAAAAGCTGTCAAATTAAAACTGAAACTATCAACTTGGAAGATTTTTGTTACTATTTTTAAGAACATTATTTATAGTCTAAAGTATCTTTTACTAAATGATTTTTTTTTAATTTAGTCGTAATATTATTTCTTTAGAACAGTTCAAATAAGTCGTTCAGTGACAGTGAATTGCAGACAACGCTTTAAACTGTTTGCTTATTGAGCAGATTTTAGACAGTGGTCGTTTGAAATGCATAACGGTATGTTTAAGGCTGATTAAATTGCCGTCTAAGACTTTGTTTATCGATGGAACCCATTGCAAAGAATCTTATCGAGCAGCTACCAAAGAATTTTGGTCATATTTGCATTCAGTGTTTTTTTTTTTTTGTCAAAAATAGAATAAATATTCAGAAAAGTTAGAAACTCAGAATATTCGATAAAACAAAACTTACAGAAGCAACCAAAAAGCTCTTTTTTTTTTTAAAACATTAGACTGACAATAACCAAACGGGCTTACAGTTTTTTAGAGTGTTGTTGGTGTTAGTATAAACGTAATTTTTCTTCTTTCACGCCCCAGCAAATACTGCAGCCAAAGTTTCTAATGCATTAAGTGATTTTTTCAGGAAATAATACTTTTTTGCCTATTTTCATAGTCTTCCTGATTTTAAAACACCAATCTTGGACATGCATTTCAATTGCAGTTTTGCAGTACGGATACTCCGCTGATGAATCATAAATTCATTCATCTGATTCATTTTGTATGAAATAAAAGATTTCTCCTTGTCCACCAATTATGAAATTTGTTATTTTACTAAATCGTTTTATTCCGTTTTAACTGCTTCCATTTATTCTACTATAAAATTATTGAAAATTTCAACAACAAAAACTAGGAAAAAGACAGGAGAAATTTTCTGGTCAAATTTCCTTCCTTTTTTTTCTTTCTTTTCCATCTCACTCTTTACTCAAAATTTTAGGTGTTAAACATATTGTTGTGTTTTCCTGGCCATTATAATGGCGAGATAATTTAGGGGTAGAGTTTTTCAAGGTAAAGAAAAAAGAAAAGTAGAAAGGAACAAAAGAAACCCCCTTTTTTTTTTTTTTTTTTTTT